GTCCAACTTTGCCAACCTTACATTGAGCAAAAGTCTTGCTGAAATTACACAAGAAAAAAGAGCACAGGAAAGGGGACAATGTAGTAGACTACGGTAAGAATCTTTATTAGTGATGTATCAGCAAGCAAGGCTCAGTTACCCAGCTGTGCTGGAATCAGCCACATAGATTCACTGGATTAATGCTCTGATTATTGAGGTGAAAAAGCACAGTCTTAAAATACTAAAGATGCTAAAATATTGCCTGAAGTTAACCAAAATTTCCACATCCCCAGACTTCGCTTTGCATACATTTTATTTCTTCTGTTCCTTGCTATCACTTTGTTCCATGCACATTACCACACGGATCATTTTACCTGAATCAGAAAACTCACAATGGCAGAATCAACAACAGAAAGCCTATGAGCTCGTTAAAATACGGGCCAGCCTAGAAGGGCACACATCAAAGACCAGCAGAGCAATTAAGTGTGGCAGGCTTATGACTCCTCTGGAATCAAAAAGCAAGAACAAACAACAGTGGTAACAGTGCTCCTTAGTAATACCTGCAAAGAACTGAGGCCTTCTGTTCTCACAGTTTAGAGAAGGAAGAGAGATGACCCCAGCCAAGTGCAGACCTCAAGTTTTAACGTCTCTGCGAAGAAGCCAATGCCTTATCCTCTACAAGGAGAGAGACATTGGTTTGTTTCAACATAAATAAAATATGAGCTTTTGAATTCAGCACACTTTAGTTCCTGACACAAAACTTCACACAATAATGTAGTATTTGCCTGAAGGTGTCTTTACATGCCTATGGGAGACGGAGTGTCTAAGTAAAATGTGTCCTAAGAAACAAATTTTTAACAACTTGTTTGTCCACCTGGGTAATTAAGTGGGTATTCTGGCCTCTGCTCACACAAAAGACCAGTAGAAAAAGCTACAAATTGAGAAAGTCAACACAGCTGGCTCCTGGGTCACTGCTTTTAGTTTTATTTAAAATTCTAATTCTCAATGCAATTCACCTTCAATACTGTTGTTACACAATGCTACAATGCGAGTACAAGAATCAAACTATCTCTTTAAAAAATGTTCTTGTTTATCTTTAAAGCAACCAAACAACAGTGGCAACCTAACTTACTCTCTCTCTATTCAAGATAACGTGCAAAGGAACAGCAAAGACACCATTCACCATGCTAAAATCTCAAGCAACCGAAAAACCTATCAAAGCTCAAGATTAGTTACATACTTTTATAAAATATTTATCATTTACTTTCCTATTCTCTCCCAATTATCTGGCACCTGACCTGCAATTTGTGATCAAAATTTTCCTTGTAAGTACTGCCAGAATGAATTTAAGAGCACTTAAAGCAAACAGTATATAAAAAAAAAAAAAAAAAAAAACAAAAAACTGGAACACCTTCCATTTTACATTACTGTAAGAGACCGAGGCTGGAATGCCACCTTCACCTTGAGCCACGCACAAGTGAAGCAAGGCAGTTGTAACTACGGCTGGTCTCACTCTATTTCCAAGAGGCACCTGCTTTCTGGTGTTTAGATCACCCACAGCCACACAAAAAGCCAGAGGGTGAGCAGAAAAATCAGTGTCAGCTGTGAACTTCTTCGACTGTTTAAAACAGCAGTTACCTTTAAGTCAGCGGCAGATGTGACACCTTTAGGACTAAATTTAAAGGGGAATACAACAAAAAATATACATGTGTTTTCAGGGCAGAAAAGAGAATAAGCATGAGAACAGGTATACAAACTAGAGAGGAAAAGAAACTTTTCCCCATTCATATCTTTCTCAGCTTTTGTACTCCAGCTGCAGTTCCTATAGCAATTCCACAAAACTGCAGTATATCTGATGAACACACCAGATACAAAACAATACAGCAATATTAACTAAATTACTGAAGAACAGTGTAATTCAAGAAGCTACCTTGGACAGCAGAGACAGAAAGCTTGTCATGCAAAATAAACTTATATCCTCTATCCCCGAAAATATAAGAGCACTAAGTATAATGCTAAAAATCATTGAAATATGGAGGTAGCATGTAGCCAAGACACTGAGGTGACTGATTCACTGAAAATAACATATTTTCTGTTTCTTTTCCTCTGGCTTTATGCACAGTTTAACAATAATATCCAGTATGGGTCAGTTTAAACATACAAAGTTGTACCTTCCTGGTTTTCAGCAGCAGCATCTTAGTGTGGGTGAAAACTGGAATTTGTAGCACAGTCCAGAAGCTTTACAATGTACTTCGCAAAGCTGTGTCATGACAAATAAGCCAGCATTCTTTAGGACTCTGAGCTCTTTAGTCTTTGACATCTGTGAGTTTTTTACCTTCATAATTCATATAGTGTACACTTACTGTTTTACAAACACACAGTAAGTCCTGGAAAAAGCCTGAAAAATGCTTCAGCACAATGCTGTCATTACAGGCAGTCATGCCAGGTGTTTCAGTCTGAGCAGCACAAGAAATGTAATAGCAAAAGTGATGGCACACTGACAGACACGTGGGAAAGGAGCTGTGGTTTGACTTTTTCCAAGCACATACATACTGCCTGTATTTCACTGTGGCTTGGGCGGGGGGGAATGCGTACAAGGAAGATCAACCACTAGCAACCTTTTTCTTCTCACATATCACGTGATTAGTCTGCACAATCATATGTTTGATCTTTACCCACCTTCCCTGTTCAACACACACTCTCAAATGCAACAAGAAGTATTTTGCACTCAAAATGAAGCGAGAAAGCCAGTGGAATACTGCATGTGAAAATAAATATTTAAGATGACTAAAGAGAGTAATTAATAAAAAATAGCAACTACAATACTAAGTTTTCTGTTCATTTTAAAACACTGACAGGCCCAGGTGTTCCCACTAACCTCAAGATCCAGACTGAGAAAAAGATATCACTATTTGGAGATAATGCTCCCTCAAATCTCCCCGCCACTCCTCCAGGAGGAGAAGCTCCAATCTCAGGAAGCTGAGTGAATCATTAGACACTGTATGCAAAACCAGGCATCAGACAAAACACAAGAGTTAAGCTAATACAATCCTTGTTAACAATCCTTAACAGATTCATAGTTATTCCCATCATCGTTTTGCTTTTAATCTTAATTTGAACTATCTGCTCAGAGGACAAAACTCTAATGTCAGGCTCTTGTAATAAGCAAATTCTCCAACCCCAGAAACGTGAGGCAAGCCCTGGGAACCCGTGGTTTATAAAAGAAATGCTGACACTGCCTTAGCTAGCCCATCACAAGAATGCTGCTGGAATGAATTAGCTGTGAATGGCTGGTTCATCCACGCTCCAGGCTGATGCTCCATCAGCATCAGGCGCATTTACGCACTGTCTGCTCCGGGGAGCCAGGACAGGACACGCAGGACACTACACAGGCTGGGATAAAGGCAGTGCAGCCAGAGGCTAAGCAAACTCCGAGGATGATGCTCTATATACTTCTGGAGTTCCTCTCTCATTAGGATTCAAACAGAAACAGAGAGTTACGCTTACCAGACAAACATAGCACTTTAAAAATACGCTGTGAAAGAACTGAAAAAATACGAGTTACATTCGGTGCAGGCTACTAAAAGCTGCCTGCACTTGGATTTGGAAAACGAAAGGAAACCTCTATGCCAAGCTCCATTTGTTAATTTGTTTACTATGTACACAAAAATAAGTTTGCTCAGGTCCTTGACCTTTTAATGTTAAGTAGAAGCCTTTCAAAAGAATACAGTGTTTCTGTAATTTAATCAGCAATGGGGAAATCCATGCAGTTATGCATTTTCTAATAAATTAGTCAAAAAATCTTGGAAATCTCATCAAGTTGTACTTTAACAAAACATGTAAGTAGAATAAAATTGGGAATATAGATAAAGCTGTATCTGTATCACAATACAGGTAAGCAGTACTTGATCTCCAATTTGTATTTAAGAAATAAACACGATCTTGTCTCTCTTTCATGATCTCTTCCCCCCTCCAAACCTCTCTTATTATCTCTTCCCTCTCTCTAAAGCATCTCCTGAGCATTTTTTGTCCTTCTCTTCCTCTCCCTCAAAATGCCTTGAACAGGCAAAACTACACAGATGAAAACCACACCGTCAAGTTCCACCAGTTCGATTTTCACTTGATTTTGTTTTTAAACCAACTTAGCAGTCTGTTTGTTTACACTCAATTTTCATCCCTAACTAACACAACCAGCCCTTAAAAATTATCTTCTGGGGATGTTTTAAGCAAAACAAACACATCCTTGCAAACGGAAAGGAAAAAAAAAGAAAAGCTGAGAAACACTGAGGTTATCGTGTATAAAGCAAATAAAGATGTCTGGACGCAATGAAATGGCACCTTTTAGAATCCACCGGGAAGCAACAGGCACCAACCGACACAGCCAGGCCGCGGGGAGGGAGAGCGGGCGCCTGGCCGGTAAATCAGGCTCAGTCCCCGCGGAGCCCAGCGCGGGAGGGAAACCCGGCGGCTCCGGGACGCGCCCCGAGGGGTCCCGGGGCCGCCGATGGGCTCCCGGGCTGGAGGGGCGGGAGGAGCGAGGCGACACCCCCTCGTCCCCCCAACCCGGAGCCGGGGCGAGGGCTGGCGAGGACGGGCCTGCCCCGGGGCTCGGCGTCCGGTGGGAGCCGGGGCGGCCCGACGGCCCCGCTCCCGCGCCACGGCCACGGCCCCCGCCGGGCGGAACGGACAGCGGCCGGGGGTGGGGGGGGGGGGGCACCGGAGGGAAACACGGCCCGGAGAGGGACGGGCCGGTAAGGAGGCCAGCTCCCGCACGCCAGAGGCGGGGAGCGGCGGCGAAGCCCCGGTACGGCGGCGCGGGGGCGGAGGGACGCGGCGGAGAAGCCCCCGGCACGGCAGCGCGAGTCCCACCTACCCCGGCCGCCGCCGCCTCCCGGTACCGGGCCTCGGGCCGCCGCCGCTGCCGCCCACCACGTGACCTGGCGGAGGGGGCGGGGCGCCCCGGCAGCCGTTTCCGGGTGCGGGGCGGAGGGCGCGGGGGAAGCGCTTCCGCCCTTCGAACAATGCGGTTCCGAGTCGCCGTCCTGGGCTGCGGCGGCGGCGGCTGTAGGTCCCGGCGGGCTGGCGGGACGCGGGCGGCCGCCCCGGAGCGGGACGCGGGTCCTGCTCCACCACCACCCCCACCTCCTCCCTCCATCCCCGCCGCGGGCCGGGTTCGGAGAGCGGCCCGGCGCGGCGGGGCGCGGGGCCGGGCCCGGCCCGGCGCTGGGGCGGCGCGGCCGCAGACTCGGCTGGCGGCTCACGGCGGCTCTCCTCCCCTCTCTAGGTCCGTAGCCGGAGGCCGCGGCGGGCGCTGCGGTAGGAGCGGCCGCGGGGCCCCGCGGGGGGACGCGGCCCGGCGCTACAGGTACCTGCCCCCCTTCCCCCCCCGTTCCTGCCGCGGGGCGCGAGCAGCGGCATCCCCCCCGCTTTTGCGGAGGGTTTCGCGTTCGGGCGTGGTTTTGAAAAAGCCGCGCGGGCTCTCGGCTGAGTTGTCCCGGAACGTCGTTTTTTTTTTTTTTCCCGGTGGTGGGGAAGTAGGCGCATAGGAGGAGGCGGCGGCCATCTGCGGCCGGTGAAAGCGGAGGAAGCGGCTCCGTCCCGGCGGGAGGAGCCCTGCCCGCTCGGCCGGCTGACGAAAAGTTAGGCTTGGTCTGCCAGCCTCCCGACAAAAAGAGGGTTTGGGGTTCATTTGATGGCTTTTTTTTTTTTTTTCTTTTAATTTGGAGGTTAATCTTAGTGGAAACTGAATGTGCGTCAAGGCAAGTCACTTCTGTTTTCGGTTTCTCGCGATGTGACTCTGAGCAATGCTGAGTGGCTGGGATACTCGTGTCTGGTTAGCAGCACAACAGCGTTACCTTGGCATGGGCACTTCAACTGCATTTGTAGCATAGTATCCCAAGGTGGGAAAAACAGGCTCATGAGTAGACTTCCTTCATCAGTCCCAAGAGAAAACACAAAGAAGCCGTTTGATAATGCCTGCAATTCACACTGTGATGAGCTGTTGCTATAGTTTATATTTGCCAGAGGTTATTGTCTCATAAAATTAAACCTTTTGCCTTAGAAATGGGGATGAGTCAGGCAGCACTGAAGACAGGATGACTAAGAGACTGGCGGCTCTATTTTCTGTAGATTCAGCAGAACTGGTTGTACTGCAGAACGATGCATACCCCTGTTTCCAGACTTTCTGTGGTCCCTTGTTTCTGAATGCTTTTGAAATCCTTTTCTGATTTTCATATGTCATCCACTGGAAGATATGCTTGATGGGCTCAAGTAGTGAGGAGGTCACATCTCCAAAGGATGTCTGATCAGCAAATTGAAACAATGCTGATCATCAACAGATACTTCTAAAAACATTCTTCTTTGAACCCTGGCCTTGTGTACTCATTCATTTACACCAGCTACCACTCAATTTCCTGTTGTGTACACTAAGCTGATACTTCATGCCCCAAGAGAGCAATATCTGCTTTTATCTATAAACTTCAAAGCTTCCTTTCAAGCTTTATGTGGTGTTTGTAATAGTTGTGAGGTGTAAGATTTGCTTTGTTTTGTTATTTTATCTCACCAAATCTTGCATCATTTAGTCCCCTGTGATTTCTTCACTTCCTGCAATCCCAGTTTTCTGGCAGGATTGCATGAAGAGTGTTTCACTGAGAATCAGTGTAGTCTTACACGTTGTTAAAACAACTGTTGAAAGACAAAAGATTGATATTTGTTTTATGGAAGATCCACTGTTCTTCTTTCCAAATACTGTCAAACAAGAAAAAACCTCCTAGAGGAGTAATCTTCCAAAGAAGACCAAAACCAAGCTTTCCTATGTTCCCCAGGTATTCAAAACAGGGAGCCTAGAAGGCATGATTTTATAATGAGGGGGTATATGGAAGATTTTTTTTCTGTGATCTTTAAAAAAACAAAACAAAACACCACACAGCAAACCAACCCCAGCAAAAAGACTTAAAAACCAGTGTGTTCAACCCAGTGCTGCAGATACTGCAAAGCTTGCATAGTCCTTCCTGCTAAAAGACTGGCTTGCCAAAATTACAGTTACTGCCAATGAGATGTGTCCTAGGGCAATACTTCTTTAAGTTGTGGAGTGTCCTAGAGGAACTGTAGCCATTGTTCCTGGACTATAAGTGTTCTGAGCAGTATATGAGAGATGCGGAAGGTTAGGAGGGATGTTTGTGTGTCTGGCAAGTGCCGGGTTCTGTCTCACCTTGAATTCATTTGTTATGAAAGCTATTTAGGCATTAAAGGAAATCAAGAACCAAAAGCTAAAGGAACGTCATTGTTACTGGGTAAAGACAAAATCTCTGAGGAGTTTTAATATGGAAGCAAAGCTTAACAAGAGCTAAGGCTGCTAAAAATAGTCCCACAGTTTCCCTTTAAATTCCAGACAAGTAGTGTGGAAAACATTCTAACTCTTCAGGATACTGACTCAGGAGAATTTCTGTCATATTGCCTCTACTTTACATTCAAGCTGTATTAAAATAATAAAAGGTAAAAGATATCATAAAGCAAGGTGTAAACTTGATTTTTATCACTTTTATATTGTAACGGACCTTAGTATTTCTCTAGGATAAAACATGACATCTGATTAAACACACATATTATTACTTTAGACCCTTCTAACTTGCATTTAGAAAACAAAAAAAAAAAGTCTCACCTGTTGTTTTTTCTTGCTGCTTTTCCCTAGGTGTGCCAAAATGTCAGAAAGATCAGATATTCTTCACTTCAAGTTTGACAATTATGGGGATTCAATGTTACAGAAAATGAACAAACTGAGGGAAGAAAACAAATTTTGTGATGTCGTGGTCCATATAGATGATGTTGAAGTTCATGGGCATAAAATTGTATTTGCTGCTGGCTCTCCCTTTTTAAGAGATCAGTTCTTACTAAATGACTCCAGAGATGTAAAAATCTCTATACTGCAGAGTTCGGAAGTGGGGAGGCAGCTGCTTCTCTCCTGTTACAGTGGCATTCTGGAGTTTCCTGAAATGGAACTGGTAAACTACTTGACTGCCGCAAGCTTTCTGCAGATGAGCCACATTGTTGAACGATGTACACAGGCCCTCTGGAAGTTTATAAAACCGAAGCAGCCACTGGAGAGCAAGGAGTGTGAACAGCAAAGTGACTCCTCTGAGCTGAAGGAACACCAAGGAGACGATGACTCTCTGCAGCAAGATTCACCTTGTATTCAACCTTCAGAAGACAGTATGGACATGGAGGACAGTGATATTCAGATCATCAAGGTGGAGTCCATTGGGGAGGTAACAGAAGTTAGGAATAAGAAGGATCAGAACCAGTTTATTTCTTCTGAACAAACTGCACTGCATTCCTCAGAGCCTCAACACTTTCTTATCAACTCCACTGTTGAAAACAGAGCAAGTGAAATAGAGCAAAACCACCTCCACAACTATGCCCTTTCGTATGCTGGCAGTGATAACATCATTCTGGCCTCTAAAGATATGTTCGGACCTAACAACCGAGGCATAGACAAAGGCCTCCAGTGGCACCATCAGTGTCCAAAGTGCACAAGAGTATTTCGGCATCTGGAAAACTATGCTAATCACTTAAAGATGCATAAACTCTTTATGTGTCTTCTCTGTGGCAAGACATTCACTCAGAAAGGGAATCTCCACCGGCACATGAGAGTGCACGCAGGCATCAAACCGTTCCAGTGTAAGATCTGTGGGAAAACATTCTCTCAGAAATGTTCCTTGCAGGACCATCTCAACCTGCACAGTGGGGACAAGCCCCATAAGTGTAACTACTGTGACATGGTTTTTGCGCATAAACCTGTTCTGAGGAAACATCTTAAACAGCTACACGGTAAAAATAGCTTTGACAATGCCAATGAAAGAAACGTTCAAGACATAACGGTGGACTTCGATTCATTCACATGTAGTGCTGCTACAGACAGTAAGGTCTGTCAGCAAGCTGATGCAAGCCAGGTACTGGATGCAGGGAAGCTGCCTCAGGCTGTGCTCAGTTTAAGAAATGATAGTACCTGCGTCAATTAAGCAATTAAAACCAGCCCTTTGTAGGGATTGTGATTGAGGAGCAAACAGTTGGTTTGGGCTCTTACCTAAACTAGTGGTATGTCCTGAAAGGCTATGGATGGATGGATGGATGGATGGATGGCAGGTTGGATTGCAAAACCTGGCAGGTCTTCAGCCATCATTCTTAGTCTTACTTGATATTTTCTGTGAATAGCAATCTTCCTTCAGGTTTCTGTCTGTGTCTCTACTGTGGATTATGGGGTTGTTTCATTTCTCTCTGATTAGGAGACTCAAGACTAACACCTTTTGAAAGACTGTTGCTGTGGGCTGCAAGTAAACCATCTGCTGTACAGTTAAAGGCCTCTCTGTGTCTGGGCAGATGGAGGAAAGAGCAAAGAGGACAAGTCTGTGAGATAACCCGATTTTTTTTTTTTTTTTTTTTTTTTAAGCACTGGATAACTGAAAGCACTCCATATAGTCAAATTTTAAACTTACCTCTTAAAATTATCTTTCTTTGATCTTACCCCTAGACCCCTACAGTTGAAATGAAGTATTTTTGTGTCACTTTTTTGCCCTTCCTGAACTATTTCAAGAAACTTCTGCTGCCAATCAATGCTATCTTAAAAGCTCTCAGGGTTTTTAACCTCAACATGCATTATGAAAAGAGAAAACCCTAAATGATTTGGCAGGGTTAGCTGATTGTTGCATAGAACTGTTCAAAATGAGAATAAATTGCAGCTTGGGACTGTGAGAGCCCGGTGCCTGGAGTGCAAGTATGACCTATTTCTTAGGCTGTCATACCTAGGATTTTTAAAGGGCACTTATCAGTGTGTGTACTGAGACAAACTAAACACTTGCTAAAAGTTATCATCCATCTTCCATCAAGTTTGCATCACATAAGCCACAACAGTTGTTGGTTTTAGAGCAAAGCTAGAGTGGAGAAATACTGCTTTTTGACACTGTGAAAAGGATCTGTTTCAAAAGCTGCAATTTATAACAACTCCATGTTTTTCTTTTTTTGTTTGTTTTTATTTTTTTTGTTCCCTTTAGTTCTTGTATAGCTCTCCTGGGTATCCAATAAGGGCCATGTGTCAGTTAACATGAAAAAAGAAACAAAAATACGTGCCATAGGAACATTAACAACATAAAATTTTTTGATTTCTTGGACGTTCAAACAATACTTTTTTTTTTTTTTTTTAAGTGACCTGCATAGTTCATGACCCTTAGTGTTTTACAGAGCCTAGGATGAGGTATAGGTAGCACAATTTCCATAGGCTAATATATCAGCTATTGACTGTACTCAGCAATACCTCTTGTATACCGCCTTAAACATCACATGTAGCGGGAATGGCATGTTAATTGGGATTCTGGGATTATACCGTATTGCTTCTCAAAAGTGCCGTGGAATTATCCGCATCCCAATCAGGCTGAAAGAAACTAATTTATCCGAGGAACACCATTCCCAGTAGAACAGCACTCTTATTGCATTGAAGTGTAGCATAGACTAATAATCAAATGGCTGATCCTCAGTAGAGAACTGCTGTTTGTGTTTGGAATAAGTACTTCTTCCAATGCAGCTCTTTTCCACAAGGTTTGCCATGAGGCTGAGATTATGCTTCCTACCTAGAAGTAGTACTGTTTGTGTGTTTGAATGAGGGGGTGGGGGTGAAAGGCTGCTATTGTATGGTTAAAAATGCTAAACAGGTATGACCAAAGGTGTGTTAGAGCAAAAAATGTTTTGTATGTAATTATCAAAAGTTGGTCTTGATCTTCAGATATGTGTGTGTAGAAACCAGGATTTCCTTACGCAGGCATTACACTGATGGACGATAAAAAACGTTAATGTTGCAGAACATTTTCATAAGTCCACGTACTTTCAAGTAGAAAAGCAAGGTGATTCTGTGAATCAGTTTTTGCAATTGAGTTCTTAAACTACTGTACTTGACTGTTATATGAACTATTACATGGACAGCTATGAAGTAAGCAATGGAAGTGGAGTCAGGGCATTACATCTTTCAAGTTGTAGCAAATATATTTAGGCCTAAAATCTAACTATTTGGAACTGTTAAAAATTATTGTTCAGGTTCCTGGGGCAGAAGATAGGTTTGCATGGGAAGAAAAACTGTTTTCTCTTAAAGTCACCCGCTTTCAGAATTGTTTTGAACTAAAACTGACCATGACAGTTGCATCTGACACTTGCATTCTGTCTTCAGGCAGAATCTTCTGTATTGTTCAAATGTTTTGATGATATATTATTCATTATATGGAATTAAGTTATAGTGCCAACGTCAAAATGAAGATAGACATGGTGAATAAGAGTTTGCAGAGCCAGGTCAACGTGCTGTAAGGGACTAGTGAACAATTTAACCAGATATGAATATGGACACGATAAAGAAAATGGTCTTCTGCCAGAGAAACGAATAAAACTGTACAAATGCTAGAAAAAGTGGCAGCAAGATGGACAGTACTGAAAGCTTTGTCTATCTGGGAAGTTTTTTTTTTGTGGAATTACGAAGCTGTAACGTTACTGTAAGGAGAATACAGCTTGTTGAAGTAGCTGTGGGTGACCTGAAGCTGATCCGAAGAGACAAGGGGTTTCTTAAGAAACAAAAAAATTACTTGGTCAAGATATATAGGTTTTTCCATCCATGCTGTGCTGTGGTGATGTCAACGTCTGAGAAGGCTGAGACGGGTGGCTGTTGAGTTAAAAGGCTGCTTGTGGTCATGTGGTGAGACCATGGCAGAAATAAATAGGAAAAAGCAGAAATGCAGAAGACTGCTTCTTCAGTGAAAATGGACACATCTGTTGGATGAAAAATGACTTCTTGCTAATGTCTGTGCTTTTGGCCTAGCAAAAGGCTGCAGACCAAAAGATTTATGCAGGAGACTCCATGACTCCAGAAACTCTGGAGATCTAAGAGGGCAATACACTGATGGCACTGTGCAAAGTGTGCTGGTGGTAGAGTTGATTTAAGACTTGCCCCTATGTGGAACAGACAAGTGAAGAGCATAGAAGGGGTATTAGCAAAGAAAAATCTGGCAAATGTTTCTTCTCTGAATTACAGATTTAAATGGTGTGAGAATTATTATAAATGGAGTATACAGAGGCAGCTCGATTATAGGATAAGAACCTAATTGTCCATGTATGTAAAATGTTGTCTTCATTGCAATGTTCCAATTAGTGAAAGACTAGATCCATTGGTTGTTGCTACTGATGCTGCATATTCAGATGAGGACTATGACAATTATCATAATCTGTGTGTTAATGTGTAGAATACTATTTGCTGGTAAGTGGATAGTCTCACAACTTAATGTGCTGTACAACTTCCTGCATATCCTAAAAATAACTGAAGTCTATTACAAAAATATTTTAATAACTCCTTGAATATATTAGGATTTTTTTTATGTTGGCATTTTATTTATTTATTTTATATAGAAGAAGAAGATCTTAGAACTCTTAGGTTTACCAGAGGTTTAGGCTCACCACTTTTCACAGTGGTGGTAGCTTGTGTAGCATGTGTTCCTGCAGCATATGGTGCAGGTGCACAGCCTCCTGTATAGATCAGGGATGAGTCTTTCCTTAATTTATTTTTCTTTTAGAAGACATGTTTTTCAAGTTAGTAACTGATAAAATTGAAGTGTCAGTCTTTTTCTCCCCTAGATTTCTGGCAAAACTTAAGATAGCTACCGCTGAACTTTTGTTTAAATAACTTAAATTGTGTGGGGCTGATTTCAGTTCTGGAGTCATTGGGAGGAGTAAAGGCGAGGAAGGAGAATCAAAATGTGATACAAACAAACCGTTGAGAGTATTCTAAAGTCACGTTAAGTCTCGATTTTTTTTTTTTTAAAACAGAGGAGGGGGAAAGAGCCGGCCCTCCTGACTTGGTAAGGGTTGAGAAGGCAGAATGGACGTTTTTCCTTTGGGATTGTAATAATCGACGGACTGAGCATTAGCTACCTCTTCAGTGACTGGGCAAAAGTCTTACACTACGTACTATAATTACCAAAGCAGGCGGGTCGGTGGCTGCGGGTGGTTCCTCCCCGCTCAGGGGCCGAGGGCCGCGGAGCACCCAGCTGCGTGTCCCGGCGGGGCGAGGCCGAGCCCCCCCCGGGCAGCCGCTCTCCGAGATGCCTTACGGGGGGGTGGGGGGTTTGGGGGGGGGGGGCCGGCCCGGGCCGATACGTTGCTACCTCTACCGGCCGTTTGGCGAGGCGCGCCCCGTTGCCGGTGCGGTGCGGTGTCCCCCGGCGGCAGCCGCTGTAGCAGTGCCGAGTCTTCTAATAAACGTGCTGCTAACTCTGTCTCCCGCCGCTTCTCATTTCCCGCCGCGGTAACGGCGCACCCAGGGGTGCGGGGGGGAAGGGGGAAATGGGAAATGGGGGGGGGGGGAAATGTGCTGGAGCCGCAGCCGGAAGGGGCGGGGGGGGGAGGAGAAGCGCTTCCGGGGCGCTGCGGTACCGGCGGCGGAGCACGCACCGGCTGCAGGGACCGGCCGGGCCGTGGCCGGTGAGTGGGACCGGGAAGGAGGGGTGTGGGGGGCTCCGTCAGCCCTCTCCGGGGGGGCTTGGGGGTGGGGGGGTGTGAGGCCGCGGCTGGGTCCTGCCGGCGGGGGTGGCCGGAGCTCGGCGTGACTCTCCCCGGCCGTGCCGGTGCCTTCCCCCGCAGGAACGGCGCCATGGCGGCGGACTCGGAGGTGCTGCACTTCCAGTTCGAGCAGCAAGGGGATGCCGTGCTGCAGAAGATGAACCTCCTGCGGCAGCAGAACCTCTTCTGCGACGTCTCCATTTACATCAACGACACGGAGTTCCAGGGGCACAAGGTGATCTTCGCCGCCTGCTCCACCTTCATGAGGGATCAGTTCCTGCTCAATCAGTCCAGGCAGGTGCGGATCACCATCCTGCAGAGCGCCGAGGTGGGCAGAAAGCTGCTGCTGTCTTGTTACACGGGGGCTCTGGAAGTCAAAAAGAAGGAGCTGCTGAAGTACCTCACCGCCGCGAGTTATCTCCAGATGGTTCACATTGTGGAGAAGTGTACGGAAGCTTTGTCGAAATACTTGGAAATCGACGCTTCCATGGAGAACAGTAATCAGGCTGCGGAGAGGTGTCATTCCTCAGACGCCAAACTGAGAAACGGGGATGAGGTTTTAGATAAAGATTGTGAGATCATTGAGATCTCGGAAGACAGCCCAGTGAATGTAGAATACCCTGTGAAACAGGAGAACGGGGACACCTCGCGGCCTGCAGTGCAGAGCTTGATCTTGGAAAGAAAGGACACAAAAACCCCAGAAATATCAACAGTTGAAATCGGATATAAGGATGACGAAATCTGTATCTTCAGAATGGATTCTATGAGTGTGGCGAATGTAGAAAATGACCATTATCCTCAGCCTTGCACTTCCTCTAAAACAAATTTATACTTTCCAGAAACCCAGCACTCCTTGATAAATTCTACAGTTGAAAGCAGAAACACAGAAATGTCAGGAAACCACTTTCAGACTTTTGTCAGTGACAATCCAGAAGGAACTTCTAGTCTGGTGAATGGGTTTCAGAACCTGGATGATTCTGGCAATTCATGGCGGCACCAGTGTCCCAAGTGTCCGAGGGGATTTCTACATCTGGAGAACTACCTTAGACATCTAAAAATGCACAAACTCTTCTTGTGTTTGCAGTGTGGCAAAACATTTACGCAAAAAAAGAATCTCAACAGACACATTCGGGGGCACATGGGTATCCGCCCCTTCCAGTGCATGGTGTGCTTGAAGACCTTCACTGCCAAAAGTACGCTTCAGGATCACCTGAACATACACAGCGGTGACAGGCCCTACAAGTGTCACTGCTGCGACATGGACTTTAAACACAAATCTGCTCTTAAAAAGCATTTAACTTCTGTTCATGGCAGGAATAGCAGTGACAAAACAAACCTGAACGCTATTACAAAAGTTAAAATAGACTATGATTAACAGGTGGGTGGATGTGGAGCCAGGCTCCACAGAAAGCTCCTGGCTAGTGAAATTCTAGACGAAATTCTAGATACAGATCCCCATGTAATGGAGAGAAGCACAAGTACGCGGCTGGTGATCAGAGACAGGCCTCGAGCAGCAAACTTGCCTGCTGCGTTAATGTTGCTATTGCTGTAAGAACAGAAAAGGTGTTTACTAGTTGAAAGTAAACTGCAAAACACCGGCAATTATTTCATGCTTCTCTTCTATTATTCTGGACGCATTCTGATTGTCCCCCCCTGCCCCTCCGATTACCTTTTACACTCCCCTGTTTGAAGGACAGACACTGCCGATTTTCAAACTGTTACTGATACTGCAATAAGCTGAAGCCTGAGCCATGACGTTCCTGATCTATAACGGCTAAGGGAAGGGATGTTTGTATTTATTCAGTGAGCCAGTCATTCCCACACAGTTCATGTACCACTTACGGTGAAACCATCTCCTTACGTGCCCAAACTTTGCTAGATCTTTCAACAGAAAGAAGGCATGTTTTCATACTCAAGTCTGTGATGTTTAAGAAAGAACACACAACAAACAAAAAATAATCAAGGAAGCTTTCAAATTGCCTCTTGCAAATAGAGAATTGGTAAAAGAGATAGAAACAAACAGTATTGTCTTGCAGTTCATTTTAAACTGAATAGTCTCATTAGAAGGACTTGCTTTCAGTTTTATGAACGAGTTCTGAATTCTTCTAAACTTCTTTCCTCCGATCATTTTTTTCTGTCATACCAATGTTTTGCACCTGTATTTCACTAATTCTGATTAAGTTAGTCCTGTTTGTTGAGTTGTAACATTTGCCTTAATTTTTTACAAATTTTAGATACGTACAATAATGTGAAAAATTAAGCCGTGTGCTGTTACATAATAGCAGTTTCTACGTTAATTTGAAAACCAATCCTTTCTGTCTTATTAGGAGTGGCTTAAACATAGAGGTCTCATACTCTAATTCTGTGATACAGTAAAACAGTAAATACGTGTGTTTGGATAGGAGTGTTTGTGCATTGTCAAAGGTCATTTCAGTTTCATCACAACCATCGGAAGCCCTGTAACGCAGAATCTTTATCCCGTACCCGTCTTTGACTGGTATATGTCTTTTCCACTTAATGTTATATGAATAAAGAGTCAAATCAGTTGTTAATATGAGATAATGTTACTTACATTAGATTCTCTTCCATTAGCAAAAAGCAGTAGTTCTTAATCTTGTCTGTATCACCAGGATACAATTTCTTTCAAGTTTCAGAAGTGCTGCTATGAAGTTCTTGCTCCGAGTCCAGAAGTCTAGCCCATGTGCTCCATAACCTGGCTGGCTTTAAAATACAAGACAATAGTTTTTAATGTCAGTTAACGGGTTTCACATATGTTCCTTCCATGTGTCTGTGAGTGCACCAGCCATTGCTTGGGGTTTTATTTATCACCTACGTGAGGGGTTAGGTGTGTACAATATCTACCGTGCCGTTTCTTACTATTATCTGTAACAGGCATGGTCTGCTGTGCCAGCCTTATTACTGTCTTCATTTCTTAGAAATTTCAGTTGGAGAGTTTATAAAAACTTGTTTCATGAGTGTTTTTTTAAGCTCTTCATCTGATATTAACAACACTGAAAGTACGTATTAGTTGATTGCAGCAATATTTGCAGGTCCCAGTTCACACTCGGCCTTGTGGTAGCCAGCACATGTCTCCCTCAAAAACCCTGTAGTCAAAATAGGCAAGTCGTGTGTTCTGAAGCTGAGCACACCACTAGCACTGCATTCCTCCAAAAATTCACAGAAATGTCTGACTTTACATAGACAGTTGACTTGTGAAGGGCTGCATTATATTGGATCTCTGGAAAGGCGTGCATGCCAAGCCTGCATACCAGGGTGTCCCTGTGAATAATGACAGGAATGACACCCCCGGAGTAAGTAGCTCATGTAACTGGGAGTTAAAGTCACCTGGTTTATACAGTACTTTAAGGATAAGGCCCAACCTTTCACCATCTCTGCTGTTATTTCATTTGCAATTTTAGTTGATCATTTGCTTTATTTTGGTGATTTTTATAGTAATTGTCACAGCAATTACTGTAGTTAAAAGGTTTGGGAGTCATTTGTGGTGCAGCCACCTGACATTTTGCAAAAAAATTGCATTTTATAGCACAGTCTTCTGTTTGCATTCAGTAGTCTGTCACTATTTGCAGCCTTTTTGACTTTGTGATAAGTATTGTTTGCTTGGTTTTCACAGAATACCATTAATTTTTGGTTCCCAATTGCATAAAAATTGTCTTGTTTTCAAAAGCATGCTAATACCTGCACTTGCCCTGACTCTATGTACAGATGTTAACTTGGGTATACGTACAGGTTTGTGTGTAGCTTTTTCATTTGTGTCTACAGACTTACTTAAAATAAATTCTTTCATCGTTGGAAGAGGTCATAAAACAAGGAAAAAGTTTACTTCCCTACCCCTATCCTTTTTACATTGGGCTGCTATTACTGTAGTTCAGTAAATAAATGTATTGTGTATTTATGGGACAGATTTGGTTCAACTGTGCTTAAATTTGTTCAGTTGATAGGCATTTTTAGCAGGTGTATGATTATCATTGGTAACACTTCAAAAGATCGTTCCTTGGTTTTTGTTCGATTGTTTTTTATAGGTGTATGCTGGGGTATTTCCCTGCGTGTCAAGAGGGAATGGGAGGCTGATCTTTTGAAGTGCATCTTCTGTGGGTGCAGGATTGCAAGTTATTTTGGTTTGCTCTTGTATTGCATGTAAACACGAGAGGGAGTTGTGTTGTGTGATGGGCCAACAGCATGTTCTCTTCAGTGGCTAGAGTGTCTTGGTAAGCTTTGTGAACAAAAACTGATTTTGTGCACATGTTCACATTAAAAGTGTTTCCTCTCCCCTTTGCATACATGTAACCACTCATCCTGTCAACACAATAAATTAAATGCAAACAAGATATTGTTTCACAAATACATATGCTTTCTTTCTAATCACAGTTAAATAATTCTGTGCATACCTTAGTATTTAGTATTTTGACTTGCTATGATGTTGTAAACCAAATACAGTGTTCCAGTAGCAGTCATTTAGGAACGCGTTTCTTCGGTCCTTCAGAAGGGTCTGTCTGACCCGCTTGCCAGACGAATGCTTTCTCCTCAGAAATCGTAACTCTACACCGCCTCGGCCTTGGTTGAGAAAACTGTTTTGATCCTTGTGAGTGACCACAGACGTGAGGTGCCGCTCCCGGGCTTTTCTCTGGGATGGCGTGTGGTAAAGCCCCGCCACTGAGACGGCCGCCGCGGCTTCGGCGGGGCGGCCTCGCCTCCTCGGGGAGGAGCGGGGCCAGCGCCGTGCGCCAGGGACGCTCTCCGCTCCTTCTGAGCGCCGGTCGTAATGAAGTTATCCATTAAAATTTTAAAACGAAAGGGAACGATGGACGCTAAGCGCGCTCGAGGAGCCTCTGAGGCGCCACCGAGGCTAGGCGCGCCGCCAGGGGGCGCGGGTGCGCGGGTGGCGGCGGCCGCCGTCTCTATGGTCGCTCCCGGAGGGTGGGGGGGTGTGGGGGTGTGGTCACGTGCGGGGCGGCGGCGGGCGCGGCGCGGCCGTTGCGGCTCTCGCGAGACGGGGGCGGGGCGGCGCTCCCGGCTGTCAGCGCGATGAGGAGGCGCCGCCGAGGCCCCCGCCGCTGCCTCCGCCGCGCCGCGCCGCGCCGCCCGCCCCATGGCGTCTGAGAGGCCGCGGCCCCCGCCTGCTCCCGGCCCCGCCGCCCGCGCCTCGCAGGTAGGAGCGGGCCGGGGCGGGGACGAGGAGGGGACGCGGTGACCCGCCCTCCCCCCCCCCCCCCCCCCCCTCCCTTCCCGGCGCTGCGGAATCCGGGGCCGGGCCTCGCCTTGGGCAGCGCGGCCTGTCAGCACCCCCACCCCCCCCCCCCGCGCCCCGCCGGGTCCCGGCTGCGCCACGAGGGAAGGGAGCGGGGAGGACGGAGGCGGGGGGGCTGCCGGCCTTTCCTTTCTCCCCCCCCCCCCCCGCCGCCGCTAGGCCGCCGGGCCAGCCCGGGGGAACGCGGGGCAGCCATTTGGTGGCGGCTCCGAAATGCCGGCGGGAGCCGGGGCCGGGTGGGCGGCGGGGCCGGCGGCTGCTGACAGCGGCCTCGGCGGAGCGGGGCGAGGCCGCGGGGAGACCCGCCGGGGCCGCTCCGCCTTCTCCGCCTCGGCAGCGGCCGCCGTTCAGGCGTTTGAGGCTCCCGGTTGCCTCGGTGGCAGCCCCTTCCGGGAGGCCGCGGCACCGAGCAGCCTGTTGTGTGGCGGCCTCCAGCACGGCAGAGAATTGCAGAATAATCGGGAGTATTCCCGCTCCTGTGGAGCTGGGCTTTAGGGTGATGGTGGAGAAGAGTCATGGTGGAAAATAGGCCCTAGAACTGCACCCAGTGTGTGACGCTTAAAGTGTCTTAAACAAAAAAAAAAAAGAACCAACAAAACAACCAAGCAGGAGAAGCATGTCTTGGTTCTGCGGATGCTTGAGTTGCGCTGAGGGTTTTAAGTTAAGCGTAGGAGTCAGCACAAAGCCTAGGAAAGGGCAGCGGTGTGGATGGGAGAGTGACGAGTATTCAGTTACTGTCAAAGTGGAATGGCATGTATCTTAATATTATAGAGGAAGACGATGACAAATTTTAGACTGACAACCAGGAAGGTTTCTGATGTAGGTGTGTGTCACTTGAAGTGTGAATTTAGGATTTTGTTTGGGTTTAATTTTAATTTCTGTACCTACTCTTGTGATCATTCTTTCACGCCCATTATAGCTGTATCGTAATGTTGAAGCAAAAATAAAAGCAGCTCTTCAGAATACAAGGGCATAAATTTGTAACTGTGGTAGAAAATACCTAATTTTAAATGAGAATCAACAAGTACAATTGTAAGTCTTCTGAATCAAAATACTGTTACTTGACCTTTGGTCTGTGTTAAACATCAGTGGAAATTCTCGAAATTGAAGTTTGTGTTCCTAGTATTATTCCAGAAAACACTGAATTCTTAATTTTTGAAATTAATCACTTTCCCGAGACCTGCATGCCTTTTTAATGAACATTTTCTTGTTTTGCAATGTAAGCAAAGCTTTCCACAAGAAAAGGTTGCTTACTAACTCATGTACCTGTCTGGTTTGAGGTCATGGCCATTTCTCTCAAAAATAATAAATTCTGACAATTTTAGTGTTAGTGCTTGAGATATCTCAAAGTCCCGGTCTTGAGTATTGATTTCTTATTTAAGGCTTTGTTGATTGACAATAGATAGAAGGTAATAGCTAGTAGCATTTGTTTTGTTAGGTGTACATTACATCTTGTTTGGTAAGATTTTTGTCTACCTCTTACTGGGATGAACAGAAGTGGTGTCTCCTTACTGACTGGACAGTCCTAATGAAAGGAAAAAAAATCTACATCCGTGGACATATTAAGCTATTTTGTACAAACTTTAAAAAGGCTTTCCGACTCCTATGGAAACATCTGTTTTCTTGCCTGTGTCTCAGAATGGAGTTAGTATTTCATTAAAATTATTTGAAAAATGTTAGAATATGGAATTTCTCTTTTATAAAATGTGTGGTTTAAACATGGAGGTCGTGTTAAGAAAAAGCATGGGGAACTAAGCTGTACATGAGAGTTCTTATTCTCTGAAAATATTAATGAAGAGTAAGGAATTCTTCAGTGTATCTTTTCTTGAAGTAACTGTGTCAAAATAGATCTGCCTAGAAATGGATTCCCTTTCTCTGATTTTGGTGGCAAAGAAAATTTTTTGTTTATTTGCCCTTTAGTTAGTCCTGAAAAGTCAATACTGTCGCAGGAGCTGAATTCATATCGGACTTGTGGCAAGGACAAACTCTGCTTTCAGTGACACCTATGAAACACAAAATAAAAAAAAAAAAAAAAAAAAACAAAACCAAAAACCACACAAACGAACAAACAGCAACAACAACAAACAAAAAAAAAAACGAGCAAAAACACCCCCCCCCCCCCCCCCAAAAAAAAAAACAAACAACCCACAGTAGCACTACATAAGTATATGGGAAACTTTTAAAGTCTAGTAACAGGATTTCTGCTAGCAACACTTGAACAGGAAAGAGCAGGTGTGAACTGTTGAGGATACACTGACTCTAGTGTTGATGGGGGAGGGGGGATTTACCTCTGAATTGATTGAAATTTGGCAGTCCCTGAGCAACCACGGACTTAAATTTGTACTAGTGAATTGTACCACTGTTCATAGGGAATTTTCTTCAGCCACGTTTTAAGGAGGCAGAGGGGATCTAAGCTTTGTTTTTTGAAGATAGCAAGTGAAGCATCCTGTAGGTGTTTTGGCAAAATGTAGTTTGGATAGACATATATATATTCTAGTATATCACCAAGATTTCTCCTGATAACTTTTCTGAGATTTAAATTGGGCTGTAGATGCTCCCAGTAGCATTAATGTTCAGTTAAAAAAAATGCATCGAAATACTAGCTTTAATGGTCATTAAAGACTGTGCTGTATATATAGAATTTGCACGTGATATAAAGAGATTTACATGTGACAGATATTATGGAATGTAGAAATAAGCAAGTACGCTCTGTAAAGAGGATTTATTTTAATTTCAAGCCGTCATAGCTGAATGATGCAAAGCTATTATGAGGATGGCCCTTTCCTAAGCCCTTAATTAAGCTAGTTTTTTAAGATCTATAGATGATGGCTGTTGAAGAAAAAGGAATAAAATATTCTGGCCCTTTCAGAGAACAATTTAATACTGATAATTTGATTATATGGACACTAAGTTTTTGACCCACTCAGGATGCTTTCAGAACTCTGTAATTCAGGAAGGAAGGTAGGCTTGGAAAAGCTACCTCCTTGTAGTGCAAGCAAATGATTAATCTGCATAAGTGGAAAATTTTAATGGAGATCACTTAAAAAAAAAAGAAATGAAAATACCATGATCTCTGCAGTCAACATTAAGAGCAAGTTAATATCAAGAACTCTTTAATTTAGCGATTAAAAGTCTATTGAATTCTAAGATTTAGGCTTAAATCCACAGTAAGTTTGTAATGGGACCATTTTAATTTGTGAAAATGCCATATGATTTCACAAGTTTTTCAAGGTTTTCCTTCATCTGTAGAGAAGACTTCCCTTTGTTCAGCACTGGCAGAATTATTCCGTGTCGCGTTCTCATACAAGCTCTGCTTATTAGACTTTCCTTTGCTGCGTCCCACAAGGGGACCTGATCGAGTAGGCCTGGGCAGAGCAGACCTAGCGTGGAGCTGCAAGGCTGTCGCTTCTGTTTGGCGACACGGCTGCTCGTGATACTGCTGCTTCTCTTTTTTTTTCCTTGGCGTTTGCCTAGGCTAGGGGGGACCTGAGTTCAAGCCTTCAGCCCTTCCTTTGAAAAGGGATGAAGCTTGCATATCTTGCCTTTTGGTACAAGCTCTGAGTCCAGGCAATGTGCAGCTTTGAAGGGGATCGCTCCCTACCTCGTGCTGAATCTGTTTCCCTTTGAAGAGATGGAAGTTTTCGTAGGTTGAAACCCCTGCTCACCATGCTACCTAGGAACTGGGGCATGTAGCTGGGGAGGAGACACTGAATTTTCTTGTTCCTTGCTGAAAGAGCTATACCTAGATTTGATCTAGTGACCGATTAGTAAAAATAAACAAATGATCTTTAAAAATGAGCCAAAATCCAAGCTCGGGCAGTTGATGATGAGGCTGCAGTTGCCTTGAATGATTATTCAGTCCTTTTATGTGTGAGGAATAGCTTCGAGGGGAGGGACTGACATTGCCCCATCTCTAAATGTGTGTGTTTGGATGCTCCTTTGTAAGATGAAAACATGGGTTAAAAGTATTTAAAAGTAATTGAATTTGTATCTTAGTGCAGATGAGAAATCTAGTCACTGAATTAAATGTAAGGCAACACCAGCACCACTAACTGAAGAAATCCCTTCCTCTATTTTT